TCGCGGGAGGAGGTGGTGGGTGTTTTGTACGGTGCGTGGAGCCCTTCACCTGCTGTGGATTTGTGTTCTCGTTGTAGCTTTGATTAGCCTGTCCTTTGGGGGAGCTGTCGGACTAATGTTCTTGATGCTTGGATGCGCCCTTCCCCAGTACAAGTAACGTGCTCTCTTCCCATTCCTCTTTTTTCTTTTTGCATGCCTGTAACTCCGCGGTGGTTTGGCTTTCTTAATTACGGACTGATAAGTAGGAGGGTTTTGGGGGGGTGGGGGTTTTTTGGCTTCAAAAGATCGGGGTGGGAAAAAAAAGACCATCCGGGAGTTAATTCACCGTAAAAGTGAAGGCAACAAAAGTTAAATTACCAGGCCTGGCTGCAAACTGTTAAAGAACGCACTGTGCAAGTCTCTGATATTGTTCCTCTGCAGGGCATAAACAGGTAGCATCTCCTGAAGTAGATAGCAAGTATGTGTTATCAGGGAAGCGTTTGCATTTTCTCTGGCTACTTAGTGGTAGCTGGGCTGTGGGTGACTGTGGGGTGGGCCCTTGGCTGCGTACCACGCTTGGTAGTGTCGCCTCGGGAGTAATTGCAGCTGCTATCTGTGCTTTTGGTCTATTGATTCCTATCTCGTAGGAGATACGAAGTAATAGACCAAAAGTTCGGAAAGTCAGGCCTGTGGCTTTTGCAAGCGAATGTTGACTTCTCAGAAAATCTTTTAAATTGACTTCTTTAATGTTAAATAACTATAAAATATGCTGCTGATAGTCCTGTTAGTGGTTGCGAATTGCAGTTCTCTACATATATGACTAGCTTTCTTATGCCAGCTTTCTTTTGTTATAAAATCAGGGCTGGTGACACAAACCCTTAAGAAGGAGATCATTATACAGTCACCGTTCAAACAATGCAATAAAGTTTTGTTGAAGCAATGCACAGCTGCATTGGTGTGTCTGAGAAATCTAATCTGGCGAGCTGCAAGCAAGAAAAGAAAACGCTGCCAAATATGATGGTGTGATTTTTGTAGGTTTTTGTTGGTTTTGTTCAGATTTACAAAAAGTCTCGGTGCCTGACGGCTGCTGAGTATTGGCTGAGAACATTTCAGGAGAAGGCTGAGGAGCAGGTAGAATTATTTGGGAGAAGTCCTAAATTTTAACACCGCTAGCTCTTTTACCTGCTTTGTTATCAATTCTTGTGTGGATGTGACATTCAAATACTCTGTAAATGTATTGATGCTATAACATATAACAATGGATGTTCATTTTGCTTACGGGCAAAATGACATGAGAGCTCTACAAAGGTATCTCTGCAATTCTTAAGTAAAGCTGGCAGGTTAAACTTAAGAGTTAAGCTTGTCTTGTGAGGTGGCATTAGATTTAGGCTCGCTTAGTGAAATCTTGCTTTATGAATATCCTGTTGGTGAGCTCTCTGCTGCTGCCGTTGAGGTCAGCTGAGGCCGCTCACAAACGTGGTCTGTTGGATTAATGTCAGCTCGTTCCAAAGCGAAGGATTTGCTATCTCTGGGCTTGTGTCTGTCTTTCCCAAATGTGGGTAGGATGGGGAAAATACCTTGCATTGATTTTTAGGAAGAACAGGAAGTAAATCAACTTAACTTTAACTTTTCTTCTCCTTTCTTTTTCAGCCAGTACTGGCCACTGTTTGTTCTGTTTTTTTACATCCTTTCTCCTATCCCATACTGCATAGCAAGAAGATTAGTAGATGACACAGATGCTACAAGTAATGCTTGCAAGGAGCTAGCAATATTTCTTACAACAGGCATTGTTGTCTCAGCGTTTGGGCTACCGATAGTGTTTGCAAGAGCAGAACTGGTTAGTAATATTTCAATCCATGTGTTTTTATTTTCTAGAAAACTTTGTTCTTTATGTTTTTTTGACTGAAGGTAAAGTTCTCATGCACTAAGCAACTCTTATAAATAATGTACTTAAGATGCTTGCAGTGGAAACAGAATAAGAGTTCTTTTGTCAAGAAAAACTAATACTAGAAACAGAAGCATGGCAGAATGTCATGATTGCCAATTGCTTCACATGGTCATGGAATAAACCCTAACAGCCTACATGCAATGCAGAGAAAACAAGATAGAAAATAGTGTGAAAACCTCAACAGGCAAGTAACCAAACATAAAAGTGTGTAGCATACTTTGAAGGCAATTTGTGGAACAGTTGGGCTAAAGAAGCAGGAATAAACAATGCATTTTTGCACTCACTGTAAATGATATTGGTGCTATTTTTTTAAACTTCTGAGTTGTCATTACATCTTTCCCAGTACACAGCTTTTCACTAAAGTCCCTTAACAGATGACCTTGTTTGTGTGAATTTCAGAGAGCACTACTAAGTCAAAAAACATGGAGTGCATTTTCATAAAATCTCTTTAGGCAAGAAGAGGTCAGATGGTCGGTTTGAATACCTCGCACCCCTTGAGTAACCCACTTAGTCTCCTTGGAAAACATTCACCTCCGTTTCTGTTACTGGGATATCTGCTGGCGTTTTGAAGACCTGCATCCTTAAATGTCTATTTTAAAAAGTCTTATGGCATGGTTAGCAAGTATAGCTGGGCTGCAGATGTGTTTGATGCTGTTGCCTAGCCTTACTTTACTGTTTTTGGATGCTGCAGCAGAACAGCTGTGCTTGCTAGCCAGAGCTTTGAACACGGCTAGAGGAAACTTGCAGTGCTGCTTGGCTAACTGTGAATTGGTTGACTCATTTTGGGTAAATCCAGCCATCTTGGCATAACCACAAATAATGAGATGCCACCTTCTTGCCTCATGGACCTGTTGCTGAACTTTGTCTAGAATGTGACCTTATCTTTTGTCTTGTCAGTATTCAGCTCAAAACGTGTCTTAATTAAATTCCCCTTGTTCACAGATTTACTGGGGTGCCTGTGCACTTGTTCTTACGGGGAATACAGTCATCTTCGCCACCATCCTAGGATTTTTCTTGGTTTTTGGCAGCAATGATGACTTCAGCTGGCAGCAATGGTGAAAGGAAGATAAGAGAACTATCCCAGGCATCTTGTCATGCAGCGGCTATCCATGCAAATGAGAGAATGGGCAATAAAGAGAAGTAGTGTAGCAAGCCTCTTGAGTATTCTAGATGCTCCTTTTCACCTTGTTTGTTCTGAGTGTACTACTGTTGCTGACAGGGTTTCTACATTTTTATGAAGTGGAGAGATGATTGATTTCATTTTTACCTAGGGTATGTTTTTAGGTGCTCTCTTGGTTTAAAATTGTCATCCTTCTGTCCAGTGTTTATGTGAAGCTTTAAATCTGGAACAAGAAGATTTAAACATGGTTTCAAAGAAGATTTAAAGGGTTGTGTTTTTTTTTTCTTTAAGTATTAATACTATGTTTCAAAATAACCCTTTTTTTATATAGTGATTAAATTATATACAAGCTGAATGGAGGTAAGAGATTGTGCACCACCACCATTGTCAAATACCAGACCAATAGATTGTTGCTGTATTTTAGCAGAGGCAAGGCAGGGTGGGAAGTACCGGTTGTAGATTTTTCTTCTGCACGTACCTCAAACTGGGTGATGAATGTTCATAGCCTTCATTTCAGGAGAAGGCGGAGGAGCAGGTAGAATTATTTGGGAGAAGTCCTAAATTTTAACACTGCTAGCTCTCTTACCTGCTTTGTTACCAATTCTTGTGTGGATGTGACATTCAAATACTCTGTAAATGTATTGATGCTATAACATACAGAACTAAAGTGTATTGTAGGGGAAGGAAAAATGATGTCTAAATCCCATTTTTAAAAAAGTATCTTTTGAACTCTTTATAAGTATTGTATGGTTTTGAACTTCTATGTCAACTTTTTACCACAAAGATGGCAAAATGTTCATTTATGGAACTACTGGTCTGTGTTCATTTGAAGCATATACAAAGCTATTTCCTCCTTCCCCTTTTTAATTTATTTTATACATAGTACATATATATATATATAAAAAATAAAACAGCTTTTCAAATGTAGATTAAAACTTTGTGTTAAACTTGCCTAAGAACGATATGTTTTTCCTTTCTTTTTTTCCTTCCCTTCACACATTGCAGTTGAGGCATGACTTTTTTAGAAGTCACTGGCTGAACTGATTTCACTGACTGTTTTTAAGTTCTTATGCACTATCGGTTAATAAGATTTAACATTATGTCTGTAACTGTAACTTGTGTTATGTAAGATTGCACATGTAGCTTCAAATATTTAAGACAAGTTTTCTGCATACCTCTCAATTGTCTGGATTTTTCATTTAAAGAAATCTCTCATTAGACATTCCATCACGAGTTAGTTGATGAGTGCCAGTTAACCAGGTTTGATTGTACCACATGCAGTGATAAGCTTGACCAAACATACTTCTAAACTATATTTTTGTTAAATTCTTAAAAAAAAAAAAAAGTCTAGGAAACCTACTGTGCATAATCAAAAGCTGATGATTGCTTAGGTTTTGCCTAATAGTGGAGCAGTATGAAAAGGCACAGAATTGCAGGTGTTAGCTGTAGTTGTGCTCAGATGTAAACAGAGTATAAAGCTTGAATATTTGAGGTCTGGTAGTAATGGTAGTTAGTTACATGATATGCTGAAGGAACTGATATCAGCAGGTAGGGGCAGCAGGGGTGCGGCTACCTACACACACTGCTTTGTTAATGTTGTCCTGTTTATAAAAGAAGAGCTCAATTTTATCCATGCTGATAGAGGAAAAAGAGGTGTCAAGACCCTAGCACAGAAGCCAGTCTGTAGCAGACAGTCTTTCAGCCGTAAGCGCTTCACCAGACTGCCTGCGGTGATGATGTCTGGAGGCGCAAGGGACGTAGAATCACTCGTTTCATAACCTTTTTCAGTGAGACTTCTGCATCTCTGGCCCCAGCATGACAAATGCTTTGGAAAGTCTCCCAAACCAGTGGCTAAATTTGCAGTCCCGGCAAAGGAGGAATACTTAGGACTTGTACAAAGCTTCTGAATCTGTTACCAACTCCTTTTTTGTGGTCAGGAACTGTGTTTCCTTTTCCATTCCTGTGCTGCAAAGCCTACTTCTCAATGTGACGCTACTCGCTGGATCACTGGCTATAGAGCTGACTCTGTATGTATTGGCGGTGCATTTTTGGTATGTTAATTGCATTACAGCAATTAAATTACCTTCTTTTGCTTGCACAGAGAGTACATGCAGTATTGCTCTGATTATGAGCTAGACACTTGAGAGGTGCAATCCTTCTATATAATATGCACTGAGATAGCGTTAACCATCCTTCTAGAGGGGAAAAACTTTGAACGATAAAAATTTTAAATAGCAATCTTGAGTTATGTATGTTCAATTAAAAATACTCTAATAAAAGAGTATTTTGTTTAAATATTAATTGTGGGTTTTTTTCTTTCTTTGATGCGGTTGTCATTCCTGTTGAAGAGATGTCACCAGACTGGCCACTCAGTATGAGAGGGACATTAAGGTGCTGGAGCGTGTCCAGAGAAGGGCAACGAAGCTGGTGTGGGGTCTGGAGCACAAGTCTTATGAGGAGTGGCTGAGGGAACTGGGGTTGGTCAGTCTGGAGAAGAGGAGGCTGAGGGGAGACCTTATCGCTCTCTACAACTACCTGAAAGGGGGTTGTGGTGAGGTGGGTGTTGGTCTCTTCTCCCAAGTAACTAGCGATAGAAAGAGAGGAAATGGCCTCAAGTTGTGCCAGGGGAGGTTTAGATTGGATATTAGGAAAAATTTCTTTCCTGCAAGAGTGGCCAAACATTGGAACAGGCTGCCCAGGGAGGTGGTGGAGTCACCATCTCTGGAGGTGTTCAAAAACTGCGTAGACGTGGCACTTTGGGATGTGGTTTAGTGGCCATGGTGGCGTTGGGTTAACGGTAGGACTTGATGATTTTAGAGGTTTTTTCCAACCTTAATGATTCTGTGATTACTCAGTAGTCCTTCAGAGTGTCATTGGCCTTGGACAACTGTAAGAAAGAGGCTGGATCGTCCAGCACTGTACTAGTTGCGCTGAGCTGGCTTTGCTGGTCCTATCTTACATCTACAGTTTATCTTCAGTTTATGTTTAAAGTCCAAATTCTGGTATGTTGGTATTATTATACAAAGCAATATACACCTTCACACTCTGACATATTTGTAACTTTATAATTTTTATTAAAAAAACCAGCCTTTGTAATATTTGTAATCATTCATGGTATTTCTGAAATTTGAAAACTTATGGCAGTCTTTTGACAGAAGCAAGTAATAGGAATTGGTGGAAAATCTGGATTTGGGGGGTAATTGTTCCTTTCCCCCTCCCCACACACACTCACTTTGGTCGTATCTGTTGATTTTTAGTTTATTCTGAGAGGGGGGAAAAAAAGATGGCTAGAATATTAACAACAACAACAAAGTACTTCAGTTAAAACATTGGAAGGGGAGCTAAGTAATTTGGCAATATCCAAGGTGCTACAGCTGCACGCCATTTTTTCATGAAATCAAATTAAACTCGCAATGTCGCGTCTAAGAGTAAAAAATTCGAGCGTTATGGAGCAAATTAC